TTTTTTTGCCACTTCAGTAGAAAACAAAACTGAATGTTAGTTTCTTAATTTCTGCATCATCAGTGGCTTTTTAAATTTTTTTTATTTATTTTATTTTTTCACCCCCCTTCACTTATTTTCGAAATTCTAATTTGCGCACTTTCATGGTCAATGGAAACACAGCTACTGCTGATCTGGTCTTTGCTGGAGCATCACGTACCTCACAGTATTTCTTCACAGCCACTCAAAAGTTTTGTCTGCCTGAGTTTTACTCACCTTTAGATTTATCTGATACCTACCTGAAGACCAGTTGCCACCTGCCCTGGAACTCATAAGAGCTCACTCACCTGATCCTCGCTCAGTCCTTCTGCCTCTCGTATCCTATGGTTAATATTCACCAGCTCAGTCCTCCTGTCTACCAGTCACCTGGAAACCTGTTATACCTGTGGACCTTTTACTCTCTTCTCTGTGTGACGCCTCCATCCAGAACCTGTAAGCACGTTCTCTTATCTTTCAAGATCCAAAAGCACACAGTTTCCACCTGCAAAGACTTACCTGCTGCCTTCTCTTCCAGCTCTGAAGCCACCACCCATCTCACTTACCTGTTGTACTCTGTCTCCCGGGTCTGTACCCTGCTGCTGCTCAACTTTGACGTTGCCTGAACCCGTTAATAATTACCCMAAAACAAGGGTGTAAAGCACCCAGCTTCTTGTAGTGATTAGTACAGCTACACTTATAAAAAACTTTATTATAAGGAAATTCACGGGTTCTGTTTAAGGAAACAAACAACTTCTCTGTGTAAATATGAGAGCACACAAATAAGACRGACTTTAGTCAGTGAATTCAAGTTGATCTATAAATGAGTTCATTTATTTTTTTACTCAAAATAAATAACTAATATACAGCTTATTGTGGATAATCAAATTTTGTCGAGAGTTAAAATATCAACAACAGTACGTGTCTGCATTGATTACTGTATTTATTCGTGTATAATATGATCTCATGTATAATATGATCTCATGTATAATACGACCACCCCCTCTTTTTGAGCTTAAAAAGCATAAAAA